CAGCCAAGAATTATTCCTTGGCCAAGAAACTTATAAATGGATATTCAACAATACGTGTAAGAAAAAATATTTTAAGCTAATGTCTATCTGATCCACGTTACTTATACCTGTTTCTGATCTTTGATTCAGAAGAACTAATAAACGATCAGTCAAATGATGATGATAGCGATCCAGATGACAAAAAGAAAAAAAAGAAACCAGTCGACACGTTTAATAGCGTTGATAACAATTCGAAACCTCAACGCGACACATCGACAGCTTTTGCTTCCAAGGTTCAGCTAACGCCAAGATCACAAGTGACAAAAAGAAAATTTGGACGGTAATACTGTTTCCTTACGCATCTTTTTCAGAAGATTTTTTCATTTAGTGAACTAAACAATTTGGAAGATGCTTTATCATTACATGAAAAAGTGGCGGGAAAACGAAATTGTACAAAAATAATGTGATCATTCTAATTAAAAACCTAAGAGAACTTGGATGAGACGATTATGTTTTAGAAGAAATAGTCTTATTTCTTATTCAACATTCTTGTTAAAAAATTATTCTGTTTGTAGAAACTAGAGGTTTCGTCTAACCAAAGTTAAATTTCACGAGAAGTAAAATTTAGAAAAAGACAACACAACTTTTTTGTGTGTTATTTGTTTTCCTGTTGACACTTCATTTAAACGATATAAGTAAATTGAAAAGCGTATCGTTATTATCTTAAACACTCTACGTTAATCTAGGATAAGAAAAGTTGATGAAAGTGAGAACATGATAAGGATGAAAAGCCTATAAGGTACCAGATAAACTAGTCAAGAAAAATTGTATTATTTTACGAACGTATAGAGACTATAAGATAGAGTTCCAGATAGATATTGGAAATTTTGACAATATTCTAAAACTGAATATTGTCCCACCTCTCAGTCAGTATCAAGTTGAGCATGGGATGAAATAGCCAACAGTGTCTACTGACAGAATTCATATTGTTTTTAACAATATCAAAAGTCTGTGAGCACTTTTTGTAATTTTTTTAAAACACTGAAGAATACGATAGTTTAGAAATCTTCTCAGTCTTATGCACGTTCGACAAGTGCTGACCAATTTCGGCAGTTTGACTATCGTCATGATAATTTCTTTGACGAAGAAAATATCGGATTACATGAGTAAAGGGGCGACTATTCGCCAATTACACTCTAAAGAAGAGTACTTCTTCAGAAAACTGAAATTATGTTTTTCATTTGTCCCAAATTATGTGAGTTTTCGGAAAATTTGCAAAAGTGATTTTTATCAAAAAATGAACGAACGGCCTTAACCCATGAGTACGGGCGGCGCGAATTCGCGTTCCGAGACTTTTGCGCTCTGAACAGCGTTCGTAACTATTGCGTATTGATTCAATGAATAATAAATTGTTAGTATTCAGTGTTAATTATTGTTAATTGTTCAATGAATAATCATTGAATAGTCAATACGTAATATTTACCAAAGCTATTCAGAGCGCAAAATATCAGGACGCGAATTCGCGTCACCTGTACGCTAGTAAAAATCTTAGACACTTCTTAAAATTACTTTACTAAGATCATATAAGGTCTTATCGTTTAAGATCTTAATAAGGTTTAATTACTCTACTTTCATTCAGCCCTTTGTTTTGCACTCATTCATCTATAACAGCGGCAATATGAGTGATTTTACGGTTATTTTGAAAAAAATTCATGTTTCAACTGAATTTGGTGCTAAAACTTCCAGCTGTGACAATGCAACCAACATACCACGCCAACAAAAGCAGCTAGAGAGTTGCCCTTTTTAACGG